TTTGATACAAAGAGCTTGCTATTAGTTTTAATACTAGGTAACCGACAATTACCTTAGTCAAAAATATAAACCACAGGCCTGAGCACTGTTTAACACAACTGACCGCAGAGGGGCTCGCTTGCCCTCCAAAACTCTCTTCCTCTTACCTGTCTTGGGCACAGCAGGTCAATTTTCATAGAATCACAGAACTGTCTAGGTTGGAAGGGACCTTGAAGATCATCAAGTCCAACCATCAACCTAATACTGCCAAAACCACCACTAAACCATGTCCCTAAGCATCACGTATACCCATCTTTTAAATACCTCCAGGGATGGTGATTCCACCACTTCCCCGGGCGCAATATATGCTCTATGGATTAGGTAACTAAAGCTACTACTGGTGAAAATTTAATTCTTGATGTAGGACCTTCAAAGAGAATGCTACTCCCTACCAGATTTCTGCTTTAGCAACTTGCCTTTCACGCTTACCCACATTAACCTCAGGAGACTAATCACAGAAAAAATGTTTTATTTTAGCTGGGACTAGACCGCTTTTTCCATTTCATTTTGAGTTTAAAAATAAAAGGAGATTCTCTGCTGACAGTTGAGCAGGCATAACCCTGACAAAGGACTATATGCTGAGGATCATTTCTTCCCTTGATGATGAAATCTGCACTGTTTTGGTCCAAAAGACTATTCTAAACGGAAAAATTCTATAGTAGCATTTAGTAAAAAAAAAAAAGCCAGTTTCTCAACAGCCTGTCAGTCTGTGTTCTTGTATCCTGAGCCCATAGGAAAGCCCCATCTACCAACAAAGGGCCCCAGCAGTTGCCTGGGTTTTGGCATCAACATCCAGAAGAGCTGATTCCCGATTTTGCATGCCTGCCGATGTCATTTAGGCAAATACTTTGTGCCTGATACATGATACAAGCATTATCATATTTCTTAAGCTTTAAACTCCTGATCGTATTGTGTCCCCCAGCTGCCACATACAAAAATATAATACGGGTTATGGGTGTTTTCAAACTTGTTGTGTTTTTTAAAACTTCTCTGAAGTTTTTTCCTCAGAAAACCTTACACCCCCTCACCTAATCCTCAAGTAACAACTTTAAAATTCATACTGCTCGAGTAACAAAATTCAGAAAAGATGATTAAGCTTCAGGGAGGGAAAAAACACACACATGAAGTAATGGCTCAAGAATTTCACTCCAAAAAGTCTCCAAAAACTCTTTTAGAGCACTAACAAAAAGGCCTTGTCAGTAGTAATAGATAAAACCCACAATATAAAATATCAAGCTTCACAATTTCAGGTGTGTATTAAGCTGTTTATAGATGGGTAAGCCCTGCAGGTATTACCCAAAACTATGTTAAGAGAAAAATTTAAATACCAGATAAATTACTATTCTTGCTCATTTTAGCAGGTTACTCCACAAATACTGTGAAATTCAGCATGAAATAAAACTTGTCAGAAAACAACTCATTATTTATGTTTCAATATTGATGCAATAATTCTACTTCTTAGCATGTATCAGCATTAATTTCAAATCTGTGATTTCAAACAACTAGTGGGATTTTTCAAGCTCAAAATAACAGATGTGCCATAGCAGTCTGGTGATTAAAAAGAAAAAAAGTCTTTTCCACAACTGTATAAACATCCTCAAACTTTGGAACACTGCCTTAGGGAGAAGTGTCAGGCTTAAACATGGATATTAAACCTCCACAGCTCAAGTTCTAGTTCATCCTACCCTACCCTTCCCTTCTTCTCACTCACAAGAAAACTCCGGGCAGTAAACAACTACATAGCAACGGGAGCCCTTCCTGTCAAAGGACACTGGTCCTTTGAGAGACAGAGGTTTAGTATCTTCTAAGCTTCCCTAAACCATTTTCACTTTTCTATAAATAAAGCTGCTTATCACTGTACTTAAGCTTCGGGAACTTTAATTAGACCAGGAATTCCTCTAATGATTAGATAAAGACTGTTGCGATGGATTGGGAACAGTCTTAAACAAAACCAAAAGGATCTCTCCTCCTTTTTCCTCTTTACATACATCTCACTTGGGAAAGTAACCATTGTCAAATAAAAAAAATTGAAAGAAAAGCCTCCTTTCAAAACCATGTTTTAAGCTTCTGTTTACTAAGTGGAGAGGAAACGACTATATAGCTCAGCACACCCTGTAAGTAACAATTCCAATTTTGTCTCACACTTAAAGCCTAAAAAATCCCAGAAGTACTAAACTTCAAAAGAAAATATACACCAGATAAAAATTTGAAGCACTGGACTCTTCAGTTGCTTTAGAGGGGGAAAGCAGACTGCTGAAGCGTCCTGAGCTCAAACCCTACAACATGCAAGACAAAGATTCACATCTGTAAAAACCTCCTAAGTTAGAGCGTTCATCGGCAAGCGTTAACTATTTAGTGCTCCTTCTAGAATGTTTATTAATGAAGCCATGTTTGTTTGACCTTGAACTGTGGCTGGATTATTGCACTCGCCTGCAGCAGTAGCTGTTTGCAGAGAAGCTGCTGAGCAGCCGTGAGATGTGCCAGCAGGACAGGGTGTCACATTCTTACTCATTGTGTTTATCCACTAGCGCAATCCAACTTTCCAGAGACATGAAAACTACTGCGATTTGGCAGCAGCTACCACCTGCTCTGTGAGCTTGGCTGGGCGACCAAAGTTACTTTGAAAGCGTGTAATCAATACGCAGATCTATTTTCAAAGCTGTGCCACAATTAGCGCTTAAAAACCACACAGTTTTACGCTAGTTGGGTCAAATTAATTTTATTATGCTCCATGATGAATTGCCACCAGTGCAACATCCTATTCACTGTACATTTCAAAAATTCACATACTAAAAATTTCAGTTCGATAAATGGAAAACTGAATGATTGAGAAGTTCTTACGGATTTCATACGTACAAGTGGCTAGCTGATATTGTCTATGCACATAGAGTGTTGAGATACAAAAGCCTCATGCTAGTTTGTTAATTGCTAAGGCTATCTGGACAGTCATTTAACCAGAATATATAAGAGAGGCCTTCATTACAATGTTTAGCAACAATGCACCAGTATCATGAAACGCGATCTTCTGCTCATACTGCAAGTGGCGGAGTGCTGAAGCATGCAGTTATGTCTAACTTAACTGCCATTGCAGTCGTTATGCCTGAAATTTATCATGTACAAACCACTACTTTAAAGTAAATATTAACCCGGACACCACAGAATGCGAGTGTACTTTTTGTATGAAGAAAAAGAAATAGAAAAACCAAAAGCTTTCTTTGGCCGGTATCTACAAATCAAAGTTTTATTCAATAAGGTAACTTCAGAGCTCCCAAAACCTGGAATAGAAGTTTAATTAATGAACAGTGATGCTCAATTATTAACTATATTACAGAAATTCCAATTCGGGGAACATAACAGCTAAACATATCTAGTAAGTAGCATGTTAGGAAAACCTCTAGGCCTCATCTGCTTAATTTTAAAACACCCTATATGCAATAAAAAACAAGGGAGCAGTGCCAGAAGTTCTATGAAAGCCATACAAATATCTTCTTTATACACAAGTTCTTAACTCCACTGCCATTAGCTACCCCAGGCTGCACTTGCACTTGATCCAACGCTCAAGCCGTTACAGCAGCGAAGCTCGTAGGAAGCGTTTCTAGCAGCACAGGGCAATACAAAAGTTACCGCAAGAAAGTGAGACCACTTGGACATTTTTTTTTTCCTCAAGTTATGTGCTTAAATTACTCTTGGAAGGAAGTTAGCATCCTCTGAATAATTTAACTACAACCTTACCTCTCCCACTACTTTTCAGCAACTTGCCTTTCTTCTCATACGACTAAATTAATTCGCTAAAGACTAGGTTATAACTGGGTTAGAAATCCAAGCCGTATCATGCAGGTCCAGCCTGTCAAGATCAGGTCAACACTGGGTTTCAGTCAATACAATTCTGATAACTTAAATTTAGTTCGATAGCTTGACTACAGTCAAAGACCCAGGACACTATGCATTAACTACACTCCAAATGTGACTGACTTAACTAAACATTCTGTGTCAGATAACGTGGTTTTTAAGAAGATTTTCTACCTGAAAGTTACAGTAAGTACAGTAATTAATGCTGCAGATATGAAATACCCACGTAGCATAGATTAGTATTTTGTAATAGGCAGATATGCCAATGTTTACTGCACTACAAAGTACAACTTATATAGATGTGCAAGCTGTGAAATGAGAATCCCATTTTCCATCCACTTATTCCAATACTATTCTTATGAATTGGATTCTTGATCTTCATCACAATCCTTGGTCTTAAAGCCAACATATGAAGACAGAATATTGCCATAAAGTTCAGTATTTATTCAAAGTGTATATTCTGAGTTAATGGCTTTCCAACTTTATGGATGTAGGATTGGTGTTTCAGCATTTGTTGTGTACCATAACGCGAAGACTGCAAAGTAATACCACTTATATTTACTTTATTAGTACACCAATGTCCTACAAATTTTAAAAAGTAATTAAACATTATTGAAGCAAGCATTAAACGCAGCCCTTCAGCCTGAAAACCACATAAAATTGATTTTAAAAATAAATCAAACTGTAGCAATTGCCAGCCTTCAGTATAGCCCCTAGTAATTTACACTTCTTCATTCTGAAAGTAAGAGCTGGGAAGGAAAAAAAAAAAAGAAATAGACTGAACTTGTCTGCATCAAAGATGCCTTTACCACTATTACAATGTAAAGCTACCCTGTTTAACTTCAGATAGAGTGTTCCCTAATCGAAGGATTTAATTACTACTGCTGTTCAATAGCAGTCAGTATCGCTACAGTTAGGACAAGGTAATCTTCACAACTAGCTGTGCATTTCTGTACTGATTTTATGTAAAGCATACTGCTAAGATTTGAACTGCAATGTTGTGATGTATTTGAAACCATGCAATAGTATAAACCAGCCTTAACATTCATGTAGCATTGCATTTGCAATGAAGGGGCTAAATAAACTAAGAGCTGCATCACTTAAAGAACATAGTGCTATACTAGGTTTTAATAAGAAAATTTAGATACAGAAAAAGTAGGGTATGAAAATAGTGTTTTCCTTCTTGCATTATAACTAAATTACATTAAGGTTTTTGTCAGTCTCACATATTACATTTAGACTCCCTTATTGATGGAATGGAAAGTATTCACATGTACATGATCATCCAGGTGTAAACTTGCACACATTAACAGGGAGTAGCTTTGTAGAGGATTATGACAAACCTTTACAGATTAAATGAGGTATTGCACAGATTAATAAAAAAGCAAAAGGCAACAAAAATATACAGCAAATTGGTAGAACATTTACATGATAATTTTACAGAATCCATAGACAGAAAGTAGTGTTTAGTATATCATTCACCTTAAAAAATATATATATATAATAATATATGATCAATCATCCCATTCGTCATCATCCTCAAAGTCTTCTTCATCATCTTCATCCTCATCTTCATCTGCAAGACAAAAAAAGCAAGTCACTTGCATGCACTGAATTAAGATGACAAAAGCGTTACTGATTTTTAGCACAACTTTCTGAAAACAGAACAATCGGTTCAAGGAGGTCACAACAATACATTTGGTAATACTCTATTTTAAGATTTCTAGACATGACATTCAGTTTAGACAGATTTAACTTTCAGCCAGTATCTAGTTTGTCTCCTTTCTCACTCTTTTCCCCAGGTAGAAAAAAAGAATCAGGAGTTCTTATTTAACACTTACTACTTATTACTCTTACTTAGAGAATAGAAGAGCGGCCAGATTTTACTAGATTGGTTTTTAAACTTCAAGGACAGATTAATTTCTGAAATGTAAGACCTGCTTCCCCAGGTTGACTACATAACAGGATTTCTGTTTATTGCACAAGCAAATAAAAAATTTTTGTGAGCTAAAGTCCATTGTGGTTACTGGAATAGTCTAAGCTGTGTAATGCGCATCAACTTCAACAATGTTTGTTGTTAACTTTATTGAGCCTTCCACTATTTTTAATATGTATCATAATTTAAAAATTGTAGCCTGTTAAAATCAAGCTACTTATTTGTTAGGCACGAGCATTTCCTTCCCTAGGTAAACACTGTATTTAGCACCGTTCTGGTATTATTCATAGACTACCAGGTTGGAAGGGGTCTCGAGGATCATCTGGTCCAACCTTTCTGGGCAAAACCACGGTCTAGGCAAGATGGCCCAGCACCCTGTCCAGCTGAATCTTAAAAAGTGTCTGATGATGGGAATCCACCACTTCCCTGGGGAGATTATTCCAATGGCTGATTGTTCTCATTGTGAAAAACTTTCCTCTTGTGTCCAGTCAGAATCTCCCAGGAGTAACTGGTACCCATTACCCCTGTCTTTTCCATGTGACTCCTTCTAAAAAGGGAGTCTCCATCATCTTTGTAGCCACCCTTTAACTACTGGAACATGGTGATAAGGTCTCCCCTAAGTCTTCTTTTCTCAATATATAAATTTAATTTATATAAAATACCATAACTGGAGATTACTACATATGGCAGCAAATCAACAAACTATACCGCCTTTCATCAAAAGGTTTGCAGTCTGCAAGTGCAGTTTTGGTATGAGACAAGCTCTGGAAGAAAAATACATCAAAGCCTAAACAGAAGGCATGTAAACAAAGAGCTGCACTGCAGCTACTGAACTGCATTTATTACAAGCTGGTATTTGAGAAATGCAAGTCCTCTTCCAGTCTTATTTCTCATACGTACTGAAGTGTGAAGAGCTCATTGAGTACTAGTATGGGACTGGTTATCTGATTATTATCCAGCAGGTGGCATCCAAAGCACACTGGAAGCCACAGTTTTAAGAGCATGCATCTGCAAGAGCTTTGGCTTCTAGAAACAAAAAGTATTAAAAACATTCCTTCTAAAATATTTTGACAACTTATTTCATCAGACACCTAGAAGATAAAAATAAGTCAGTCGTAAAAAAATTCCCCAATCTTTGGAAGGATATTAACCTTGATTAGCCATTTTTAATTCCGTCTTGCCGCAAACTACTATACACCAGTAATTTGAAGTAGCACAAAGTAACCATTCAATCCATCACTAGGGGTCTGCCAGAAGCATTCTGTATTGGACTGTATGCTGAAGTCCATGCTTTTTTCCAACAATATTTCATGTTGGATGGAAGTGTTAACTCTTGAAAACCTGACACTGTGAGGTCAGAAAAATTCCATCAGACTCACCTGAAGAATGAATGGCTTTGCTCCTTTTCTGCATAACTTCCATTAATGCACCCACAATTCCTGAGGTGGGTGCAGGTGTAGGTGGTGCACTCTCCTGACCATCAGATACCTTGGAAAGAAGGATACATTAGAAAGACGCCATTAGCAAACAGAACCTGTGTATTTTGAGACAAACTTCCTTATTAGATTAATGAGTTTATTTTCAACCAGAAGGAAAAATGAAACGGCAGTTTGTTTCTTTAGCTCAAGCTAAGCTTTTATTTATAAAAAAAATAAATCAACTTCTTCTCTTTTGTCATACAACACAACTGTAGTTGGTCAATACTTGATCTTAAATATTTCAGCTCTGACTATCATGAAGTGAGAGCTCAGCTAAAGGAAAGCTCCTTAATATGATTGTACGGACATGACTTGTGTAGCTGCATAATCACTATTTATTTTATCGTTGTGGTATCGTTTATACCACAAAATATTTTTTATTGTTTGGGTTTATTAACCAGGTCTGCTTTGGGTTGATAATCCCTTCTGAAAGTAATAGACTTTGATGCTAATAGCAAATAAATATTAACATGCCCTCACACTTTTTACGTCAGAAGACGCAAGTGCAGAAGAGCAGCCAAAAAAAAAAAAAAAGTACCTAAAGGCAAAATTATTTTGAAGATATTCAGTGACATCAAGAAGAAATAGTAATAGTAATAGTAGTAGCCTGAGCTGCAACAGGAACAGCAGAGGCATCCCTCAAGGACAGCACTTTTCCAGACACAGGCAGCCACCTTCTTACAAGGCTCAACATTTGCAGAGCACAGGCCCATTTTAAGATGGAATCAATCAATCTAACATTTGCCTTCCGCTACCATTACTGCTGAACTCATCCCCTGCAGTTGTTTAGATAATTTTACTGAAGTATTCAGGCGACCAGCAATCTTTCATTGTTCTTCCAAAAGCTCCTTACAGCCGCAGTACTGTGGTATCATCATTGTACGATTTATGCTTAAAGCTTTACTGAAAATTGAGTAATGAGTTTGAAACAAGGATAATTTCATGCACTAACACTCCTCTATAGCGAATATGCATTCTAAGCATTTTCTCAGTACTACCATTTAAAACATCACTTCAAAAACTCTAGAAGTTATGATCCATCTCAAAACAGAGCCACAAGTTACTGCTCATATTGCAGTACTGCAGCCATTTGCAAGTCCCAAGCGGACAAGGATGAGAAACAGCTTTTACTCACGGATTTCAGCTGTATACCCTGTCGTATCTGGTCTAACAGTGCATCTCTTCCTGAGCAGGACACTGGTCGACTGTTTTGTTCTACTTTCTTTAACTGAGCTCCTTCTCTGATTTGATCCAAGAGTGCTGCTTTGTTTGCTGCAGGAACTGGAAGCTGGTGATCAATCTCTGAAGGAAGGCCCGGTGGTGGAGGAGGACCAGGAGGGGGCGGAGGAGGAGGAGGTGGTGGAGGAACAGATGACCCACTTGCTGGTGGCGGTGGTGGTGGTGGAGGGCCGGATGGTGCAGATGATGAATGCACTGGTGGTGGTGGAGGATACATCCTGTTTGGAGGAGGTGGGGGCACTGTGGCACCTGGTCTAGATGGAGGTGGGGGTGGAGGTGCTGCTGTGGGAGCTCTTGAAGGAGGTGGAGGTGGTGCCCCTCGGCCCCTAGCAGGGGGAGGAGGAGGGCCCGAGCTATGGGGAGGTGGTGGTGGAGGTGGAGGGGGTCCTCCTCTGCATGGTGGCGGTGGAGGTGGGGCTGAAACGAAACAAGACAATTTACAATTACATGCTACTCAATACTCATAAGTCTTCTGGAGACTAGCAGAAAAAGAAGAAAGGCCTTGCCTTGCCTTTTGCAAGGATCTCTGTGCCTGTGCAAGTTTTACCAGTTCTGGATTAAGTTGAATATAGATGAATACAGGCTATGCTTATATGAATGCAAACAAAGCTGAATATAGCCCCCATGTCTGTCGTGTATTTTGTAAAAGAATCAACACTGCAGGAAGCAAGTGCAATAAATAAAAAGACTAATTAAAGTCACAAAACAAGCTTCGTCGTTAATTTTGGTTCAGTCTTATGGTAGTAATTTTCTTCACAAACCAAGCGTATCTAAGTTAGTGTTTCAATTTCTCATGACAAAATGCAGAAAAATTTCAAGAGAGTCCTCTAAAATTTGTTGAGCTAGGACAGAAGGCAAGAGAAAGAGGTTTTAGAAAATACACTTAAAGTGAAATACAGAATTTCTACTTTGTGGAATCTATCCGTTATTTTATTAGGGAATTATAGATGCAAATATTTTTTAAGCATCATCTTCCAGAAACAAACCAAAAAAACCTATTAATGCATTACGATGCAGCATAAACTGATTCTTAGTCCCATTTACTGAAAATTAGTTCCTACAATATCTTTATGGAAGGACCTGTAGAAAGGAAACAACTTCAGGGCTATGTCAATGCACAGGATCATTCCTATATGAAGTGGCCTTGAAGTGTACTTGCTCTGCTAATAGCATTTTAAGTAGCACCATTTCATTTCCTCTTCCATTAAGCATCTAATGGCTTATGGTACTTTAGGTTGTGTGGTTGTTGCATGTAACTACTTAATAATCTAGATGCGGTCATACAACTAAGAAAATTCACATTTTCTTTCATATGCTTTGGTAACAAAAAGGTTATTAGACTCAAAAAGGTCCTTGCTGTTACATACTGATGAAGTAGGCCGTCTGCACTGGAATAGAGAGGGACATCCCTAAAACATGAATTTTGAGGAAGTAGGAGACACTAGTACCTCAGTGCCTCCTTCCCTGCTCCTCTTAGAGAAACACGTCCCTCCTAAAATTATGTGTTATGTCCTTAAGTTCCACAAACTGCTCAGTTTTTTTCTATCCCTTCAAAAGAATAACAACAGGAGAATCTCCGCTCAGACTTCATATATTTTGCAAGAGACATATTGCCAACGTTCTTGATTTTTTAAAAAAAATCCCACCACATTTCAGCTGACATAACCATAGTTTCCTTTTTGGCCACTGGAGGCCAGTATTTTCAAATATAACTTAGCAAGCACTACAGACAGTTCTGTATTACTGAAAAGATATGTAACATGGTCATGCCCCGGAGTACGTACTATCTGTGGATTTTGAATACAAGGCTTAAGTTTTCCTGTGGAGAAAAGTTTTACTTGCATCATATATAGAGAGATATGCCACATCCAATCTACAGAAATAGAGTTCAGGAGTTTTTATAAGGCTTGTCTGCACTCAGCTGGAGTGAAATGAGGGAGGAGGAGCAAGGAGGGAGCACCATTACCTCATCCTCTCTCCCTTCCCCCCCAACAGATGGTACAAGCAAAGCAAGAAAATAATTTAGTCTTTTGTAAATGCACATTAATCTGTAGATGGCTATTAACAAAAAAAAAGTACATAAAATCTTCTATTAATGCTATTGTCACTAAAAAAAACCTAATAGTACCAAAAAACTAGGGAAAGGGCAGGAAAAACAAGAAAGTATCTGCAACTCAAGTCAACATCCTAGCAGCGTGAATACATAAGCACAGAAATTCTTGCAATAAAACACAGAAAAATGTGTTTCAGTTGAGAAAGAACACTTCAAACAGCAGTCAAGCCTACACATCAAATAACATAATTGCAGATAAACCCACTGAAATACTGGAATATTTTATCTACCTCTATCAAAAAGCACAGAGGTAGATTATTATCATGCACGTTAAAGGTGAGGCAGCTTTTCTTTCAATTGCATACATGCAAGTAGCCGTAACTTGAAGTTAACACATACATAATAGAAAAACAGCCATTTTTAAAGTATTTTAAGCTAGTCATAAGACTCCAAGGCAAGTCTTCTCAATCCCATTTTATGGTCAGGAGTCTGGGATCAACAACTCTGTAAACATTTAAACAGAGTTAAGAAACTGACAGATTTCTTACTGAGAAGAAAAATCATAACTGAAATTTTGGTTGCAATTTAACTAAGAAGTTTGACTATAATTTTTAGTATTGCAGTCAAACAGATGTGGACTAAGGTTTCTCATCTAGGAAAGAAATCACACAGCAGCATAAATACTTTGAAGCATATGCTTAGATGCCAGCTCAAATACATACCGCTCCACCGCGGGGGACCTAAGGAATAAATGTAACAAGTCACTGCACCCTGAATCCATATCTCTTCAGTCACTCGAACAATTTACTCGCTAGTTTCAAACTGCTATAATTTAAATGGCACTTATATCCTATTTCTCTTGAGAAGTGTTCTAGGCAAATTTTTGAAAGCTTGACTTTGGCAGTGTAATTTTCAGACTGACTTGCTATGTTCTACTAGATAATGCATCAGCTGAGATCACATTTAAAGGTTAGGCAGGAAATGGCTTATTTGAGAATTTCCTTGCAGCAGCAGCTTACTCGATACTAGTATTTTTTACTTTAAATTAGGAAAAAAAAAATCTTTTTTAAGTATTCATATAAAATTTGCAGGCCTTTAGATGTTGCAAGGTTCATTACACAGCACTGCCAGGGTAAATGGGCACCACACATACACCTGTCAGACACAGGCTACTTCTATAACTGACATGAGAAATATTGCTAAGATTTTAATTTATTTATAAGATTGAGATTATAAAATAAATATGCAACATACACAGTCTGACAAATCTATATGCAATATACTGCATAGCTTTACAGTCAAACTAAGTGTTACTGGAAATTACTTAAACGAATAGGTAAGAGCCTTATTTGTTAGGGAACTCTCATGGGTCAATGCAAGAACATTTTCACATAACGTATGGTATACAGAAACGCTATGAAATCCAATGCAACTGCGGTGACATGAAGTCCAGGGAAGAGAATCAAAAATTGCTCATCATTAACAGCTTCTGCTCTAATCCTTAAGGCAAAAAACACCCTAATTTTTACATGGAAATAAAAAGAATCCCACCTTGTCTGCGCAGTTCATTTTTAACAGCTTCCACACCTCCTGTTTTTTCAATGAAATCATATATGACCTTTGAAGTTTCTTTGTCTTTTAGTTGAGCCTCTGAAATTCCACACATATCAAACAGGTTTTTCAGTTCTGGGTCTAAGTTGTTCACCTGCAAGTCAGATATGTTACTTTTAAGTAGCTTGAAACAGAAGAATTTTTTAAAATATCATTTGAATTTGGAAAAAAACCACAAACCATGTAGTTAAAAAGAACAGCAAAGCCAAGGACATGTCTCTTGGATGACTTTTCAGTCTGAAAGGACTATTTCAGTAAGTACCTTGCAGAAAAACTTAAGTTTTACATGCTTTCCCCTCAATCCCAGATCTCTCTTATTCCCTTCTACTCCAACATCTGTTTGAATCATATTATAAAATCACAATGTATAACTATTTCGATGTACAGTCAAGTTTATTTAACGCCAATCTGCACCATTTACATTAAAAAGCCTCTAAAGCTTTTAATTATTCAGTGTCTTGAATAATTTATAAATTACTTACATCAAAACCTGTGTTTGGATCCCAACCAACATGTCCAATGTGTCTAAAAAAAGCAGAAAAGTCCATTTAATCAGCATAAATAGGACTTTGTTAACTAAAATAACAGGACACCAAAATAACTAGAAATTACTACCAGCTTCTACCTCCAGGCTTTTAAGACACTAAGCAATTCTTACATCTCAGTCCTCACTTGAGAACAGAACAGTAAAGCTTCCTTTACTCCCACTTTTTGTCTTAAGTCAAAAAGAAGTCATTTTGCCCCCTTTAGGTTATGGTCTGTGGTGTGACTTTGATCCATCATAAACAGTGACAGTGTTGGTCTTCACCAGTATTACAGCTCAAGTTACATACAAGTTATCCTACTGGCATATTTGCCTAACAATACTAAGCACCAATTCCCATACGTTTGTACAAAGCCGGCAATTAAAGTATCTTACATGGTAAGATGGCACTTAGCTGCACTCTACAGAAAACTTAACTAGACCTTAAGCTGAACAAAATAGACATCCAATCTCCTTTTGCAAAGGTTCACCACTTACAATTTAATGTTACATTTAGTGATAGGGGAACATCTCTTTTCTTTGAACATCATTAAATATTTCATCCTCTTATTCTCAGCTTCTCTAGGTCTCTTAATATTTATGAGTGCATATAGTGTTTTACAATGGTCAGAACCAAATGGACATTATACACAAAATCTCAAATGAATTTTATATCTGCACTGCTGCACAAGCCCTTCCACAAATTCTGACCAGAGATAAAACACACTAATGCAAATTAATATTTGCAATTTTGTCTGCATATCCTGAAGTCTGCATCAGTAGAGCTACAATGGTGACCAGCTACCAATCACTATTAAGTTTTCTTTCTTTCAGTCTTCCTCTTTTTCTGCACATTTCAGTTTAAGTAACATTAAGTAACAGATGCAGCACTTCACTGATACGCAGATCCGAAAGAACGTGGTTGATGTCTGAACTGTCTAAGCAATTTTTTGAAAGCTTGACTTTGGCAGTGTAATTTTCAGACTGACTTGCTATGTTCTACTAGATAATGCATCAGCTGAGATCACATTTAAAGGTTAGGCAGGAAATGGCTTATTTGAGAATTTCCTTGCAGCAGCAGCTTACTCGATACTAGTATTTTTTACTTTAAATTAGGAAAAAAAAAATCTTTTTTAAGTATTCATATAAAATTTGCAGGCCTTTAGATGTTGCAAGGTTCATTACACAGCACTGCCAGGGTAAATGGGCACCACACATACACCTGTCAGACACAGGCTACTTCTATAACCGACATGAGAAATATTGCTAAGATTTTAATTTATTTATAAGATTGAGATTATAAAATAAATATGCAACATACACAGTCTGACAAATCTATATGCAATATACTGCATAGCTTTACAGTCAAACTAAGTGTTACTGGAAATTACTTAAACGAATAGGTAAGAGCCTTATTTGTTAGGGAACTCTCATGGGTCAATGCAAGAACATTTTCACATAACGTATGGTATACAGAAACGCTATGAAATCCAATGCAACTGCGGTGACATGAAGTCCAGGGAAGAGAATCAAAAATTGCTCATCATTAACAGCTTCTGCTCTAATCCTTAAGGCAAAAAACACCCTAATTTTTACATGGAAATAAAAAGAATCCCACCTTGTCTGCGCAGTTCATTTTTAACAGCTTCCACACCTCCTGTTTTTTCAATGAAATCATATATGACCTTTGAAGTTTCTTTGTCTTTTAGTTGAGCCTCTGAAATTCCACACATATCAAACAGGTTTTTCAGTTCTGGGTCTAAGTTGTTCACCTGCAAGTCAGATATGTTACTTTTAAGTAGCTTGAAACAGAAGAATTTTTTAAAATATCATTTGAATTTGGAAAAAACCCACAAACCATGTAGTTAAAAAGAACAGCAAAGCCAAGGACATGTCTCTTGGATGACTTTTCAGTCTGAAAGGACTATTTCAGTAAGTACCTTGCAGAAAAACTTAAGTTTTACATGCTTTCCCCTCAATCCCAGATCTCTCTTATTCCCTTCTACTCCAACATCTGTTTGAATCATATTATAAAATCACAATGTATAACTATTTCGATGTACAGTCAAGTTTATTTAACGCCAATCTGCACCATTTACATTAAAAAGCCTCTAAAGCTTTTAATTATTCAGTGTCTTGAATAATTTATAAATTACTTACATCAAAACCTGTGTTTGGATCCCAACCAACATGTCCAATGTGTCTAAAAAAAGCAGAAAAGTCCATTTAATCAGCATAAATAGGACTTTGTTAACTAAAATAACAGGACACCAAAATAACTAGAAATTACTACCAGCTTCTACCTCCAGGCTTTTAAGACACTAAGCAATTCTTACATCTCAGTCCTCACTTGAGAACAGAACAGTAAAGCTTCCTTTACTCCCACTTTTTGTCTTAAGTCAAAAAGAAGTCATTTTGCCCCCTTTAGGTTATGGTCTGTGGTGTGACTTTGATCCATCATAAACAGTGACAGTGTTGGTCTTCACCAGTATTACAGCTCAAGTTACATACAAGTTATCCTACTGGCATATTTGCCTAACAATACTAAGCACCAATTCCCATACGTTTGTACAAAGCCGGCAATTAAAGTATCTTACATGGTAAGATGGCACTTAGCTGCACTCTACAGAAAACTTAACTAGACCTTAAGCTGAACAAAATAGACATCCAATCTCCTTTTGCAAAGGTTCACCACTTACAATTTAATGTTACATTTAGTGATAGGGGAACATCTCTTTTCTTTGAACATCATTAAATATTTCATCCTCTTATTCTCAGCTTCTCTAGGTCTCTTAATATTTATGAGTGCATATAGTGTTTTACAATGGTCAGAACCAAATGGACATTATACACAAAATCTCAAATGAATTTTATATCTGCACTGCTGCACAAGCCCTTCCACAAATTCTGACCAGAGATAAAACACACTAATGCAAATTAATATTTGCAATTTTGTCTGCATATCCTGAAGTCTGCATCAGTAGAGCTACAATGGTGACCAGCTACCAATCACTATTAAGTTTTCTTTCTTTCAGTCTTCCTCTTTTTCTGCATATTTCAGTTTAAGTAACATTAACAGATGCAGCACTTCACTGATACGCAGATCCGAAAGAACGTGGTTGATGTCTGAACTGTCTAAGCAATTTTAGCCAATCTCTTTTTTCTTTCTGTCCACTATCCCATTCTACAGAGCACTCTCTCAAAACACTGTGCAGCAACTTTACTGTAACTGGTAATACCAGCATTACTTTTATGGAGCTTTATTCTGGGAGGGCACGTCAGCAGAAGCGATGCAAGATAACTGTTCGAAAGAACAAGACATTTACTTGGCATGTAAACCCCACACTGGTTTGCTAATACTTCACAGAAACTCATCTTTCCAGTCATTAACTCAAGCTTGTTAAATTCCTGTTGCTTTAGCAAATAAAGGACACTTCTTTCAAATGGCAGAAGATTAAAATACCAAATTATAGTTCAGGAAAACAAGAGTTAATTCAGTAAATTGACCAAACCCAAGACTCATGAAAATGAAGCTTAAAATGATACATCATAACTATTCTAAAAGATTCAAGATACATAAGAAACAATATTAGAAAAAAACAAGCCATTCCCAAGAGGTATATAAAAGCATGCTGTACTTTCATCCCAAGATCGGGGTACTAGCCTATATACCAGGAATAAGTAAGTTTGTAAACAGAAAGCCAGAGCCAAAAATATGGCCTATGTCATTTCTGCTGTTATGACAAGTCAAGACCCGCATGTGTATTTTGTATGACGAAGCACAGCTAAGGCAGGCACAGCTGTAAGAATAACAGTGTTAAACAGTTGACAATTGAGGCTAAATATAGATCTGCACTGAGCTGACCACTTCAATAAGACATTTTTATGCTGCTAAATTGCTTTTTAAACTATTTTAGGATAGCAAGTTACTTTTTGTTTACAGTTGCAGTAAACCTCTCACCTGTCTATAAACTAACTTGCTTTTAAACCCCAGAGCATTCCAGCCAGCATTCACTGTAGTTCAGATTAGACACAACAGTTACACATTTAAGTCTTGAGCATTTGCAAGTGCAATTGACAGAAAAAAAAAAGAAAATAAAAACACCACCACAAAAAACCAAACCAAACCAAAACCAAAAACAAAAGAAGAAAAAACCCCACCAAAAATAAAACCCAACCTCAAAAGAGTCCTTACTGGAAATTAGATGGTGTTCCGATATCTGCCTTTGTCAATCTTCTCTTTTTAGTTTTTCCTTTCTTCTTTTCTTTGGTATATGAAATATTGTTGACTTGTGGAGTATAAAATCTGTTAGTTGTAATTTCTGGGTTTTTGATATCAACAGTTGCCATTGGTAGATTTGGGCCTGTGAAGGTAAAATACAGGATTTTTACTGTGTTTTTCAACAAATAGCTTGCACATAAGAAACACACCCTGAAGAGCAGTGACAGTGAAAACAGCAGTAGAAATAGAAATTAAACACTCACGTTATGAATCATGTTCTCAAACCTTGTTCTTCATTATAAACAATTCTGAATTACTACTCTCATAATTTAAAATGCATCTGAACTATACTCCCGCCAGTTTTAGCATTTTAGTATTATATTACTTGTGTAATACTAGCAAATAAGTATACCTAGCAGTTTCCAACTCATTTTTTTTAGTTCTGATACAAGATAACCCTTGACATAAGTTAAGTGATAGTAGTATTTAAATACTAAGAGGCAGTTTAGGCATTTTCCATATAAATATATTTACACACAGACACATACATGTATTTTTAAAGAAACCTGCAAAAAAGGCAAGTGATCTCATTCTCCCAAAACTGAAACTAAGCGGTCAATTTAAGACCAGTTTGGCAAGCATCCTCCACTCTGCGGTGCATTGCTACCTAGTGGTTAGCAAATCAATTAAAATAAGACTCATGCATGCAGTCTTGCGGGGCAAATGATAAAGATGTCGAGTTAGACTGATAAATATGAACCTTATTGACATTATTTTTTCATAACTGCATTTTCTATGGATAATTCGAAGTTCCCCTACGCATTCTGAAAGGAGCAACAAGCCTTAGATTTCACAGACTAACGTCCAAATCAGAAAGGAGAAGGAGACAATACAATAGATAACATAGCTGATGTTTGGAGTTTAACACCTCAGTGGGAAGCACCTAGTAGTGGCCAGAACAAAAAAACAAAAACAGAAACACGACACCAGCCTAGACAGAACTAATCTAAAACCATATAACAACTCCTACGTTCCTGTAGGAGTCTTAAAGGACAAGATTTAAAACTGCACTGAAACCACATGAAGAAATTTTTAAGTGTTTTCTGGTAAGCAGAAATGCCTTTATCTAGAAATGCTATGATCTAGGCAACTGTCCTTTGAGAATAGCAAAAAAACCCCAAATTGACCACATATAACCAGGCAAAACAATTTGTACTGTTACACTTGAAGTTAGCATAATTCACTAACTGACAAATATTATAAACCCAAAACTTAACAAGTGGAGGTCAGTAAATCTTCAGGATTAATTGAAAGTTACAGTTTTAATTTCATCAGATTCAAAACCAAAACCAAACACACTGTAGAAGTTCATTACCACCTCAATCACCTCCTATATTTTCTCACCATTACAGTGATATTCGTAGTTTCAAAAGCTATGCTGAGGTTCGAAGAGAAACATACACCTTAGCACTTCTTGCAAGTTACTGACATTCTTCGCACAATTCCTAACAGTCTTTGAAATTACACCTTTTTGCACGTAATAGCCTAAAGTAACCATACAAGGTTTTAACCATGTAAAGCAGCAGCCATTTGCAAACCGGAATTTTCTTCAGTTGAGCTGAAATTAAGGACTGATAGGCTTGATACTAGTAACATTCATACCAGAGATCATAGTGAACTCTTAAAGATGAAATTTTTTCTTACCATCAGGTTTAGACCTTAGAAGTCCACGAGGTATAAAAGAATGGAAAGAACTGTACTCTTCTAGAACTGCCATATTTATATCCAGCAAGATTTTTCCCATCATGAGACATGCACCTTCCCCATCAGGTGTAGACAGCTCAATAAACGAAGATGAGAGAGGCATATAGAGCTCATCGTTAGGAAGTACCTGACAGTACAGTGGCCTTAAGCATCCACTGTTACCAGTATCTGTGACATCTTCAGAAGGTGCTCCAGTAAATGTAGTACAGAACATTCTGAAATGTTAATTCTATCCAATTCTCTGTATTTTATTTAGAACCTCTCTAGGCATCTGTCCCAGACTACAGACAGTCCTACAATAAATGCAAACTGTTCTAGTTAACATCTGAAACAAAATTCTGCCACGTGGGTCTTAAAGATTCCCTCAAAACCTAATTCTCTGACAAATCCTTATTTCATCCAGAACTTCACTAAAAGGTCAGTTCAACCACAGTAACTCTTCTTCATTTGCATGAAGAGACCTAGCTATTACAAATGAGTAGAACATAAATCCCAGGAAATTACAGACTAATACATTTTACATAACTGTTAATGCCAATTTGATTTTAATCCTGCAGTTCTACAAAAAAAGTCTTAAATCCGTACCATTGAAAACATCATATGAAAAGACAGAGTGCTTTTTCCATGCAGCTTCAACGCATGCAGAAAATCCAGACAAACAAGCCCCACTAAAACAAAATTCCCCACAGTATTTCAAGCATGGATCATGTGAGTACAGAAATGTGACTGTTCTTGTTTTTCAGTTTTACAGGTAATTATGCATTGCTACCCAGTACAAAGAAGCAGGTGTTCCATTTCTTTTCCCCCAATAGATTTTCACTGCATACGGAAAGTAAAACCAAAAATAGCTGATCCTACAACAGGCTTTCCTTTTTCCCAGTTACATGCTGATAGTATATATCTGCTCTAGTCTGAATTCCAAATGAAATGCAGAGTCTGTATACAGTATAACCATCTGAGACTATAACCCACACCCTGACCCATGTCTCACCAGTGAGTACAGAGGGCATGACCACACTGAACTCTTTGCCAGCAGAGAAGCTCGGCATTATAGAATTTGACAGAATCAGAAAAGGAAAACAGACAGGTTGTGAAAGAGTACGTGGATGTCCCAGGGAAACAGTATACCAGAAAGCAGAGAAGCTCAAAGCTCTGACTAGAGATTATAATCCTGAAACGTTGGCATAAACCTATGTCTTCCATATAATATTCAGGATAAAGGCACAGGACCAATGAATGCAGGTTTAGTCTGTGAGTATTATTCTGAAAAAAATGTTGCCTGAGGTCTTACAGGATGAATTATGGAGACTATTTTAAGCACGAAAGTTTTTGCAGGCTTAGATTTTACAGGTTTAGTTTTCTTAAATCTTATTCCAATCACAGATAGCAAACTGGACAAACAAATTGTTTGCGTTATTGTTGGTAGCATTTACAGTAGAGACAAAAGCTAGATTTTTTAGTGGTAGTTGGCACTACACAGTCACGACTGCTGTCTTCCTTCCCGCCTGCTCTGCAGATACTGCTATCAGGGATGCACCGTTTAGGTGAACAGAAGCAAATGTCACTCAAGAGGCAGAACAGCTAAAACCTTCAGAAAGCTCAGAAAAGCTGGTAAGACAATCATGGACAGTATTACTATGATTGTTTCAAAACTAAACAACCAAGTCCCAGTTGAAGGAATTGATACTAAAAATGCCTGGTACAAACTGATGATTGCCTGAACTTCCTCAAAACTTAATGTTTACGAAAAAGAAAGCAATTTTTTTGAGAAGTATTCCACGCGGGGTGAGGGGTGGTTATTTGGATATAAAAGATATCAGTAATTCTCATAATTCAGGATTAGTTAAGAATTACCTATTCTGCTGACCTACTGAGACGCCTGGATGCTTTGGTTAGTACAAATTTGAGGCTACCTCCTCGGGCCATATGGGGACCTCAGACGATCAGCTGACTATACCCTTGCTCAAGCAGCAATGTAACAGAAACAGTGATATGACCTATGATCTGGATCACCAACAGAAATATCACAGCAGAAATCACTTTTTAACTTCAGTGTGAATTCAGAACGAAGACTTTAAACTTTATCTTCATTGATGTGCATTTTTCACTTGATTTTAGAATAGATGGTATAAAGTTTTTGGATCAAATTGATACATAGTTTTGACTCATTCCATCAATTTAATGAGAGGATGTCCTGAGGAACCTCTATCTTCATGCCAGCGAGATGTATTGCCGAGAGGCAAGTAGATTCAAATAATTCTTCACGCAAAAAAAAAGTTTAATATTGGCAAACGTATGACACGTGAGCAAAAAGCTATGTTACACAGTTAGCCAGATAAACTGAAATCGAAATGTTATGAAAGTTTTATGAAATCTGTCATCATTATGCCTGCCTTTAGACACACAGGGTAACATTTAATTTCAGCATTCATTTCTGTATAGTGATCCTATATATATGCGTATTCTGAAGACCAAGAAGCAAATGTAAGGAACGGAGTTTTCTTCTCAGTTTAAGCTGAAGGGCCTCTGTCCTATTTGCAATAAAACGTGCTCCTCTGAAAACATTCTTTACAAATGCCAGCTAAGCCACAAGTCTTTCAAGCTACAACTAAACAAATACAAACAACAGAAAGAAAACAAATATACTAGCCTCCAGAATAAGAGTTTACTGCTTTTGTCACCACATGACTATCCTGAACAAGTCCAAAACAAAGCTATACATAAACAGTAAATGACAGCAGTAGGAAAAAATAAAATGCAGTGATTCATGTAAAAAGCTTACCATTTGGTGGGTCTCGTCTTTTTTCTGTTGAAAAAGAAAAAAGAGTTATTTATTCATAGGTATTACAGAAAAATTCTTTCTAAATTTTAGTTTCTAGAGAAGCTTTCAATGACCCTGAACTCAAACTTAAGAATCTACTAATATCCTTAAAGCCTACTTGTGCAGTTGGAACAAAGCATTACAGAACAATAAAAACCCAATCTTAAATAATAAGCACCAATTTCAAGTGAGCAAACCAAGTAGGAGCATAAGGAAATAGCTACTGAGTTGGTTTCAGATGTTTTAAATACAAAGTAAGATGAAATATTCAAAAAGCAGCTGTTTTGGTACAACCTATCAAAGCAAGCTTTTTTATGAGTTCTGCATTCTGATTTCCGCTGAATGAGACTGTTCTTCCATTTTTATTTGAAATACAATTAGCACTTTTATACAGTATTGTTCTCCCACAGAACCTAAAATACAATTATTTTTTGTTTTATGCAAGCAAAATAGGACACAGAGGGGCAAGACACTTTACCTATGTTATCCAACAGGTAACTGAATAATATGGAACAGAACTAGAATCTCCTTAGTACTAATCTGATATTCTATGCACAATGGCAAACCGTTTCACAGACCATGAAGTATCTGGCTTGATGATTTAAAATGTAAACATTTCACACCTCAGTACTCTCAGCCTATCATAGTAAATTCACCTTTAAAGGAGATTTCCCTCTCTATTAATTCCTATCCACCACATTTACCTACCCTGCAACCCACCAAAAATAACATTTACCTACCCGGCCACTGTCCTTTAAAACCCCCACTACACGTTACACTATTTGTGTACCTACACACACTCTGAAACAGCAATACCCATATGGGCAAGCAGTTTGTCATCTCACCACACCAAAAAACATGGCTCTATAAGGAAGGCTGTACATCCCTCCCTTTCAGATCTGGAGTATCTGAAATCTAACAGGAACTCCCAAGAGTTTTGTAATAAGAATTTGACAGACATCTCACTTTTCAGCAAGTCCCAGAAAAACTTCTAACTTACTATATTTTTTTCCAGACACAAACATAAGGGGAAAGGAGAAGGTGCCTCCACAGAGGCAAGGTCCAAGTGTTGACCTTGTCGCAGCAATATTTAAAAAAAAAAAAAAAAAAAAAAAATCTACAATATTAAGTGTGCAAGGCAAGTCAGACTCATATCAGTCAGCTGATCTTCAGGAAGGAATAAAGAACTTGTCAAGGTCATCAAACGTTCAGAGGAAGGTGACCAAAACCCCTTGAGAAACAACCTTCACGGAGCAAGCCTTCTAAAGACAGACAGTTGCTTCCTAGCTCACAGCAGGTTAGTTTTAGGCATAGAGGTGGAGAACCTCTGCAAGGGTGCCTCAGCAAAAGGTATCAGGACTGAGGGGAGAGGATTAAAAAAAAAAAAGCTTTTGGGCCAAATACTGTGCTTTCTCTTCCTAGAATATTCAGTTTAAGAAACCACTGTTGTTGTACTGCCAAAAAAAAAAAAATCCAAACTCAACTTTTGGAACATAATTAGAGTTTTATTCAACAACTCAGAGACAGCAAAGTAGAGTGGAGGACTGACTGCAAGTCATTTGGCACAGGATGGGAAGCTGGCAAAAGCAGGAGGTATTCATAGAAGTGTTAAGTGGCCTTGGGCCAAAACATGGGAATCCATTACAATTTTCATCAGAAGAAGGAGTTCAAGAGAAAAAGATAGTGGAAAACAAAGCAAAACATTTTAAACACTTCCTGTAATTTTTGCTGGGTATAGAAAAGATTAATTTGTGGCCCAAAGATACTAGATCTGTTTTTCTGTGGTTCCCGCTGCTGACTAGAAAATACGGACTCCTGTTCCGAAGTACAGATGACCTGACTGGAGAGTGGCAGATTTCTCCTTTTTTGAAAACGGAGATGCCTACTGATCCAAACTGGATCAACTTCACCAGCTGCCTGTGTCCAAAAAACACAGCCCCCTTCAGTAAGTATTCCTGGAAACAAGAATGATCTCTGCTGAGACTCAAATGCAATGCAAGCTGAGCACTTCAGATATGCCATTGTCTCCCAGGCAGAAAACCCCAAAGCTGTGACCAAAGATAAAACAAACAAACAAGCAAACAAACAAACCCTCTCCATATTACGTATCCAGCTTGAAGCTTATGAAGTGCATTAGGAAGGGCATCAGGAGCTAAAAGCTTGTGAAGGAAAAAGACAGCTTCAGAGAGGACTAAAAGAGTTCCCACCCATGCACTACAAGCGGTCCATAAAACATTAGTCAAGAAGCCTCCTACTTCAGAAAGGCAGTTAAGAACAAGGCTCTGTTCTACAAGTCTCTGCTGCCCTTTTATGACTGAGTGCTCAGCATGTGGAGAGGACACTTGCGTGTGTACATACATTAATGCTCCTGAGGCAAGATAATAAAAATAAAAACTAATGGTACCTACGTGCAAGAATATCCAAAGTGAGAACGTACTACACTGACAAGCACCAAGAAGAGAAACCTGGTTACTGGGGGAAGTATCTGGCATCGGTTTAAGAAGTAAATGGAGAGATTATTTAAGTAAATCTACCAGAGAAATTAACTAATTATACTAATTTCTTCCTAACCTAAGGTTAAGAATTTGAATTTAAAAATAAAAATCAGAATTTAGCTAGATGAAAGCCAGCCTGATATTAAAAAGATTAAGACAACACATCAATAATTCTTTCTCTGCCTTCCCCTCTCATTCTGTTCTCTATTAGAGGCTCTGTACATTTGAAAGCTTTTGTACATTCCCTATTTGGAGTCAAACTTTCACCTCTCTGGAACTCCAGATGCACTTACTCAGGAGTT